CTCGGGCCGGACCTCGGCGTTTCCAGCACTCCGGAGCTGCCCACACACTGCGCTCGGTAGCGCTGCTCACAATTCCTGGAAGGAAGAGGGAAGGAAAACCCAAACAAGCAGTCGACGGGGGTCTGTGCCATTGAAAGGGAGCTTTGCTGCTTTCCTTCCATTGCAAATAAAAGGAAAGATGTGAGACACGTAATGGTCTCGTAGGAGATGTGTGTGCTCTTCTGCATTGAAAAGACTTTCAGACATATGTTCAGGCAAGAAAAATGCTTTTTCAAATAAGAGTTTATCGCATTTTAATTGTAACTGCTGTGATTTCAAACAATACAAGAACTTTAATATTATACATATATATTTGCATTGAAATCACTGCATTTGTGCAAGAAACGGGACAGCTGGAATACAGCATGAGCTGTAAGCAAGTGCGGTTCCGAGCTGCTTTGCCATGTAAGCGGCGCTCCCGTTTTCCCTCGCCTGTTTTTTCCTTATTGCAGCTGCTTACAGCAGTCGCTCCTGCTGGACAATCCGTTTTTCTTGGAGGTCGCTTTAGGAAACGAATCCCTCAAACAGCCAAATGGACGCGGCCCCTGCGCTGGCGGCAGCTCCCTGTGCTCGTGTGCGCTGTAGAAGCGGTGTCAAAACCCCTGCAGGAACCAGCAACGTCCCTCTGCCACAGGGGGTTGTTCTGCAGCAGGGGTGTCCCTGTCACGTTAAGGATAGTGAGCAGGTGTGATGAACGGCTCCTCGGAGGCTCTCCGGGCCTTCAGCGTGAGGTTTTCGTGGTGCAGTTCCGTCCTTCCGCACACAAGGGTTCCTAGTGCTGAGAAGAGGGCTCCTGTGCCAGTGTTTGGTCTCGGCGTGCACGGGCGGCGTTGCCGGCCTCACGGGACGGGGTTTTTGTGCTCCCTTCCAGCTCTGCCGCCCCAGGACAAACCCTCGCAGCGGCCGGAGCAGAGCACGAGCTGCAGCCCCTCCAGGAAGAGATCGGCCTCCGAGAGCACCTCTCCTGCAGGCAAGTGCCGCGTCCGCGGGGCGCCTCGGGGCACCTCCCCGGCGGGAGGGCTCGCAGAGGGGCCGGGGCTTTGCGCTTGTGCTTCAGGTTGTGCTGGAGACGGGGCAGCGGAGCTGGCGCTGGTGCGAGCAGCCGCACGGGGCTGCGCTTCCTCCCCGCGCTCCCTTAGCAGCTCCCTTCGGCCTGCTCCGTTGAGAGAGGCAGCCGCAAAGTGAACTTAATCCCCGGGCAGAGTTCTGCAGGGAAGGTGCTGAAAGTTCAGGCAGGTCTTTATGAGCTTCCCAGACCTCCTTTGCTCCATTTTTCCTGCAGATGTGGGGTGCCCGTGGGATTGCACTTGCCGCAGAGAGCTGCACACACGCGGGGTCGGCGCCGCCGCTGCCCGAGCGTCAGCCCCCGTGTCCAAAGGGCCGTGTTTTATAGCCCGATTATCACTGGGGCTGCAGCTGGTTACATGGGTCACTTCACCAGACAGATGGTGTTTCTAAGAGGGACCCTCCACTTCATTCCGATGTGTATTAATGGCTTGAATAAAGGCAAATCACTCTTAGGGGTTTTTTTCCGTCTAAAACTGAAAGCTGCCCTTTTTTATTATTATTTTCTTAGTGCCAAACTGGACTGAAATGTCCTTCCTTGCACCCGGAGGTGTCTCTCCCGTTAGGGCAGCGTTAGGTGCAACGTTGCTGTTCCGCCGCGCGCTGCGGGCG